AATCATACTCGTTACTCGAATCATTAGAAGTGACAAGCTACAAAGCTTCTTGCCACCTAGAAGGATCCTATGAGTACCTCTGAAGTTTTTCATCATTCAACTTAGTTCCTTCAACTGAGCTTGCTAAGCTTAAGCCATCAAGCAAGATCCTTCAACCGGATCTGCTCAAATTTACAGAGTTCTATTTTTAAGCTCGCCTTTACTAGATAAAATCTCCTACCAACTTCTTTGATAGCTATCTAACTCCATCGCTAAGCTCGGTGTACAGTTCATTGAGATATAAAGCAGAAAACTCCAGTCCATGATGTGCATAACCATTTATTGAACACCTGAAGCCCACACCAATGATATTCTTAATGATAAGTCTACTCATGCTACATAGTTTACAACTTATAATGTAGCTGTTATTTCATTATTTTGACCCTTATGTGGACACATAAATTTTATGGAGGAAGTAAGAAAAAGAGGAAATAAGAATCTAACTCGATCACTCAAACTCTCTCTGGCTCGCTCTCTCTCTCTCTCTCTCTCTCTCTAAAATTCCTTTAACTTCCTTCCACCTCTTTCACAAGAGCCCTCTCAGATTGTATGGGTTCATACATCCTAAAAGGATTCAACATTTTAAAAGTTACAATGAGCATGGATCTTATACCCAAATCTAGCAATAAGATATTTCAGCTAAAAGAGATTGAAGATCAATGATGGATTATACTTGAAAGTCTGTGATGCAACAAATGAATGAGCTCAGAGAACAAATGCATAAAATAATAGAAGAAGTAAAGAAATAATTGTTAGGAATCCAATCAAGAAGCAATTCAAGATATCATTATGTATCATCAGGATTAGAGGCAGGAAGATGAATCCCGATGGCACGAAGATGAGGACCGCAAAGATATCAACTACCAAGAGAATAACTATCGTGAACCAGAGCAAGGCGAGTCATTTCTTCAACATTAGAAGAGAAAGAAGATGATAATGATGTATACGTGCCAAAGTATAAATGGAACAAAGAGTGATTGCATACTATTTTATTCGCTCACAGCAGCATACACTTTTGGAGCATTATGATTATGAAATAGGCAAAGCAAGTAATAATCCATACTCTTCAATCTATGGTCCAAAGAGAAATTTGGAGATTTTAGTCAATTCCTGAAACGAGCTTAGTTCAATATGTAACTTTTTGAGTCCAGCAAGCTATTGAAGAGTACTAATAAAGAGCTAAGCCTAGCCTCTTCATATAAACAACTCTACTGAAAATGGAAGAAAAATATTTTAAATTTTAGATAATATGATTGGTTGACATAAGTCATATTTTACCATTACTGCACTTACAAAAAATAAAACTATGTTTCTCTTAGCAGAATATGATTAATAAGCAGTAAAACCATGAGCACATCTCCAACTTAAAATCATAAAGATCTTTGAGACAAACTTCAAACAACACAAAAAATAACACAACGAAGGCCTTCTGACGAAATCAACATTTAAATCTCGAAGCAAAGAAATCAACAAAAGGTGATCATCACACCAATATATTTTTAGTCACACAATAAGATCAAGCATGTTATCAAGATGCATGCTTATAAGAAAGTGTGCAAGCGCAAGGGTGCATACACACACAGATATATATATATATATATATAT